AATCACTCTCCTGTCCACCCCAAGTAAAATATTAAGCCGCATCATCCTGGAGAGGCTAAGGGATGCACTGGATTCAAAACTACGACCGGAACAGGCAGGCTTCAGGAAGTACAAATCATGTGCAGACCAAATTGCAACGCTTCGCATCATCATAGAACAGAGCATAGAATGGCAATCACCTCTCCACCTCAACTTCATCGACTTTGAGAAGGCCTTTGACAGCGTCGACCGAGAAGTAATTTGGAAACTGCTTCAATACTACGGAGTGCCGCAAACCTTTATCCGCCTCATTCAACAACTATATGAAGATGCCACATGCCAAGTAATCCACAATGGGAAGCTCAGTGATGCCTTTGAAGTGAAGACAGGAGTGAAACAAGGTTGCCTACTATCCCCCATGATATTCTTGATTGTGGTGGACTGGATCATGCAGCAAACAGTAGGCAGCGAGAAGAGGGGGATACACTGGACGACGGAAAAGAACCTAGAAGACTTGGATTTCGCCGATGACTTATGCCTAATGTCACATAAACTTGAAGATCTGCAGGCAAAAACTAACAAGTTGATAGAAGAGGCAGCGAAGACGGGACTTCAGGTGAATATAGAGAAGACAGAAGTGATGAAGATACCGCACCACCACCATCAACAACAACAAAAAACTCCAATCACCATCAACGGGAGAAACTTAAAGGAAGTAACCTCCTTCACTTATCTAGGAAGCACTGTTTCAACTACAGGCGGGACGGACGAGGACGTCAAAGTCAGAATCGGAAAAGCAAGACAGGCATTCATTAGCCTGAAACCAGTGTGGAGATCTTCTGCACTCAGCATGCGGAACAAGATACGGATTTTCAACACCAACGTCAAGTCAGTGCTCTTGTATGGCTCAGAGACTTGGCGCGTCACGAAAGGTATTTCCAATAAACTACAGACATTCATCAACAACTGCTTACGCTCGCTGCTGAAGATCAGATGGCCAGAAAAAATAAGCAACAAGGAACTCTGGGAACGAACCAACCAAGAACCTATCACGCAACAAATATGCAGGAAGAAGTGGAGATGGATTGGCCATGCACTGAGAAGGCCGACTGAGGACATCACGCGTCAGGCCCTCGAGTGGAATCCCCATGGGAAGCGACGAGTTGGACGTCCAAGGGTGACATGGAGGAGGTCGTGCGAGCAGGAAATGAGAGCTTCTGGGCTGTCGTGGGACCAGGTTCAAAAGATCTCAGAGAACAGAGGTCACTGGAGGCGTGCTACTGAAGCCCTATGTTCCACTAGGAACCCAAGGGACTAATAATAATAATAATAATAAAATTCAATAGAACTGAAACATTTCAGGGTTTTTTACTTGAAACATCCCTTCAAATGTTATGAACTTCACTTGCGAGGGAATGAATTTTCGATAAAATTGAACATGCAATTTACAATTTTGACAATGAGTATGTTGACTACTATGCCGCTCTGTATAAAAGGATAATTAGCTAGTCAAAATCTTAAATACCAACCAAATAAAGTAATTTGTGAGTCAACGACAAGCGTTGTCAAAGAATTGTAAAACGGTAATAATTAAGCTGAAACGTGTAAAATAGGTCAATGAACAAGGAATGAATTGATATGAAAAAGTGAAATATGAGTCAAACGTTGACAATGAAGTGAAAATTGGTGATAATGATGGTATACCAAAATGAACTGAAATTGACAAAATCAACAAAATGAATTGTTGTGGCCAAGGTAGAGAAAGTGGTTTCACAAAACGTTTTAGAGTGCAAAGTTCCGGCTTTCGTTCATGTATAGCTAATGCTTCAGCTATGCATAAGTGGTGGAAACGTAAACCTTTGGAGTAGTTCAATTTAACTTTTATTATTTCAAAGGATGAGTCTCGAGATGCTGAGTGTCCCAATTCAACAAAGTGTTCACATATGGATGAAGTCGTTTTCCTTCGTCAATGTGCGAAGGATAGGCTTCCACTTATGTCCACATCTATGTGTATCTAGAAGTTAACATTCTTCTGTAGAGCTGACTATATTGGACGTTGTAAGCGTGCCTTCCGAAAACGTGTTGCTGAACACTACCCGGTTTGGCTTACTAGAGGCGAGTAAAGGAAAACGGCTTCATCCATATGTGAACACTTTGTTGAATTGGGACACTCAGCACCTCGAGATTCATCCTTTGAAATAATAATTTACAAAGTTAAATTGAACTACTCCAAAGGTTTACGTTTCCACCACTTATGTATAGCTGAAGCATTAGCTATACATGAACGAAACCGGAACTTTGCACTCTAAAACGTTTTGTGAAACCACTTTCTTTACCTTGACGTAAAAACTGAAAGGCTATTCTATGATTGGCTTTACATCTTAAATGGTCACATTTAGGCAGCATGTAAGGAGGATCCAAGCGTCAATAAGCAGGACTAGTGGGTTAATGATTTAATATTGGAATACGTGTTTGAATATCTAGTGAAAATAACCTGCATCACATAAAAATGAACTAATCAGTAGGGGAATAGAAGTAACTCAAGTATATTATTTTATAAACAGGTGGAGTCGCATACATCAAAAAGTTATCACAGTTATCACTTGTGCCGAACTGAAATGACATGATTACTGGGTTATCGAATTTAGTGAATGTTATCTTGAAATTTTAAGTAGTCTGTAAGTGTGCAAAATAAAATACTTATCCGTTTAGAAAAATTTAGTCCACGTTTTACGAATAACTACTATAGATTGTACGTCCTGCTTATTCAAATCCACCTGTTTGAAAACAATTAGAACACGACCCATGATGGTGCTATTATGATCTATGGTAGTATATTTACATTTGAAAGAAGCTGAAGCAAGGAAGTAAAGATAAGCAGTGTAAATTGTTTGCAACATTTTTGACATCCAAGGGTAGTTGCATACATTTTATTTCAAATAAAAAACATTTTTGAATCCACCTTGCTGTTTTAATCGCTTTCACTGAACAATATAAGTCTGGAAGGCATCTAAGTGTTTGCTTTTTCATTTATGTGAGATGATAGAGTTAAGTCTGTTAGACACGTGAGGAAAACTTTCAGATAGGACCTAATTTTGAGGAACAGAAACGTGAAGCGTCAGTCAATGCAGCTGAGGTATCATGCGCTGTATACCAAAAGACATCTCCACAACAAAATTCCTATCTTACCCAATAGGCTTCATACATCTTTCCACCTTTCGTGAAAATCAGCAACAGAGAATATAGCAGTCTTCCTGTGAGCATATACAGAAGAAGTTTCAACTAAGTGAACTCTTGAACCTTTTGAGACTCTTTAATCGCGAAGGAACAAATTTTCTGAAGGAAGTTCCAGCCTGTGTCACTTCATTTTGAAATTACCAACTTTGCTAAGAAAACTACTGAAGTTGCTGTATATTCCCTGGGGCACTGAATTAAGTGAACAAACAGTACTCCATTTTTCGATAGGTATGGATGTCATGTCTTAAGTGATTATAGAACTCGCTACATAGTCAAAATGCTCATCTTGAATAAATTTAGGATTGAAAGGCAACAGGCGTTAGCAACTAAATGTTAGGAAAATGTAACTCTGTTAATAATAGTTTGATATCATTATTTGGTTTTAAATATCACAGAAGTTATTTGATCTGGTGATAACAACAAGAATGTTTACCGTTTGCGAATGACAGTCTGGAGATTTAAAAGGTTTCAATTTTCAAGCATAACAGTGCATAACTTCATAAATACAGTGACAAAATGAAGCAGGAATCAGTACCAGATGACTTTGTGCTAACATTAGGATGTTGCTGAAATTATCGGTTGGATAAATGTTCAAGTGTCCAGAAGTACTACATTATTTTGCAATTATGCATTGATGTCATATAAGCAGAGAGAAATGTTTCAAAGGTAAAATAAAAGTTAACCTAGAATTGAATCACTGATCTAAGTATACGGTATTTTCTTCGTTTATTTACTACTGATTCATTTATTCTCGTTAGGTATTCACGTCAACTGTTGGTCACAAATTAGAAAACAGTGAATTTAAGAATGATATTTCTCTTTCGATTTCTTACTATTTATGGGACCTAAAGTAATCTAGCTGCATGCAATTGCCAAAAGATTTCTAAAAACAAACCAGATGAATCATACCAACATGTATTATAGAGGCGATCGACAGGAAGCCCTGGACCTAGGTTTCGTGCTCACTGGAACTCGTCAGCAACGCGTATCTGCAACCGCCACGGAACTTATGTGCCGTATGCGATTCAAACACATATCTGCTATATACTCCTAATTCTGGATAGCTTTTGCCCATAAGCTTAACCTACATAGCAGTTTTCACACTATTACTAGTTTTCCTTCTCTCTCCTCTCAAAGCTGAACTCTCATTGGTTGTTATGCATCTTTCCTTACATATGGATTTAGTTTTGTCAAGATCATTTAGAAATGTATATATTCGCCATCGCTGTTGAGTGAACTGACTGTTTCTGAGACAATAAAAAGCTTTCTGGTAACGGTCTGTTTTCTCTTCTTGTCTTCGCGTTCCGGTGGTATTGTAATGGAGTTGGTAGTCGACGTTCTGATTCATGTTAGAGGCGTTTCGCTGCACCTTGTGTTCGTAGTCTGCTATCGCTCGTAAAGTGTTAGGTCGTACTACTAACAACATCACCGAGTGCTGCAGTCAGAGACGTTACCACTAAGCTATTCCTGTCATTACTGACCTCCTGTAGGACTGGATTACGTTCACTCATTGGTAATTGGAGGGTAACCAACCTCATGTTACCTAGTCTCAAATGCTGATCAAATTCAAACGATCGTTTTGCAATGTGGCCACAAGGCTAGTTGATTAAACATCGAGATGCACATTGATGGATGTTAGTTAGATGGACAGTACGTTCAAATCGTTAACTAAGAAATTCGATTGTTTCACGAATACAACAATCAACATTCACAGCTGTCCTAATAACTCTACATATTGAGCATCACTGTATTCCATCTGCATACTTACTTCACTGTAAACTTACTTGGTGTAAAGCTGTCAGTCCATCAACATTGGATAAATTTGGATCGATTCCACTTGAAAGCAAATATTCAACTGAAATTTAAAGTATAGAAAAGTGAAAGAAAATCCTAAGAGTATAGTTTAATACTGCGATGCAGTAAATGCTCATTTGACGGATCTTTCTTTGCATCATGTAGGTGTTTACACTGTGAAATAAAAGTGTGTTATAACTTATCATTGACCATTATCTGTTAGTGAAATTTCGTATCAAATAATAACCTAACATATTATTTGCATCAAATCTTGATGGACTTTAACTATTCATTGCTGAAAGGCTTCAAACACTGATTAATTGCGCTTAATAGATGGAAAACTGTTTATTCATTGCTATCTAATGCATAGTGTAATACTGTCGGTTTGCCTTCATTTTCCTTAATTACTTTTACGTAATAACATGCAAGGTACTTTATATTTGAGTAGACAGAAAGGACTCAGATTGTTGAGAAAATTCAGTTTTTAGAGAGTGTGGATACTTTTGAACTATCGAGTAGGGAATGGTAATCTACTTGGAGGCTAGTAGTGTATTCCAGGATGTTCAACTTGTCCCATTTGGAGTTCGTCAGCTAGATGTACCTGCCTCCTAACCAATGGTGTTGTTCGCACTGAGACTTGAACCAGTTACTCATTGCTTCAAATGCTGAACTGCCATCCACTGGGTCACTGAGGTACTAGTATAATCTCTTGTGCAATAGGTATCAACTGTTGCTTGTTGATACTTGTCACTTCTCGTCGCTGTACTGCATGGAATTGCTTGATCTCTGTTGACAGATGGGCTACTATGCTAATGTAAAGCTGCTGAAGTTATCCATGATCTATAAAATCTAGTCGAATGAAACAATTCTTTCTGTGTGTTTCAAAAGAATTTGCATTTATTTACCTGAATCTATTTAGGACAACTAGGTATGCAGAATGAAGACAACAAATAACACTGAACTACTTATAAGCAACCAGTTAGGAGACATGAAGCATTTACAAGGAAGGACAGAAGTATCAAGGATTAAGAACGATCTATATTACTGAAAATTTCTGACTGTTTTTGTTGTCACTCATTAGTACAGTGTGTCATTGTCCGCAATTCAAATATAAGTCAAATACCTCGACCCAAAATTTTGTGAAAAAAACATCAGAAAATGATGAGATTACACAAAAACTGTTCGAGAATCTAACTAATCAGCAGAAACATCTTATTTTAATCTCCTCTTATGATCTTGACCATTTCAAATCAACTGTTTTAAATTGTTGCATGTATCAAACAAATAGAAATCCAAAATCGAAATCTCCTGTTGAAGAAATACCGAAATCAACCGAGATATCTGAATAAAAGGAAAGATTCAATCATGATTCGAACTGACAAAAACGCCCGAATAGTGCTTCTGCAGAAATCAGATTGAATAGACACACTTTCAGTCTTTTTACCAGATAAAAATAAGTTTTCAAAACAGACAATTCAAAAAAACCTTACTGAAGAAAAAGAGCTTCAGCTATCCAAGACGTTAAGGAAAATGAAAAAGGTGAAGCACTCATCAGTACTGAATTATACAAACAGCTCCACCCATCTGTTTCTTTGATTCCTCGATTATATGGTTTGCCCAAAGTGTAAAAGAAGTTCCCCTCCGTCGGATACTAGACATAACTAGTTCTCATTATCCTTCGATCGCTAAATGGTTCACCAAGATATTTGAACCAGTGAAGACTGAAATTTTGACACGCAGTCTGCGATACATATCACTTTGTTAATTTATTCAGGGATATTAATCTGCAAGAGGAGATGATTCTCTTGGATGCTTTTACCTTATTTACGAATTTGTAACCAATGAAAAACATTTGTATTCTGTATGACATTATCCAATCCCATAACATAAATGCTGGTATGCAAATTCACTGTATGAAGGAACTTCTTGTCAGATGTACTTTCAAAATTCAGCTGTTTCAACAACGAGATCTACAAGCAGATATATGGTGTTGCAATAGGATCGCCTCTATTACCCCTGAGCTGACTGCTTTATGGCAAGCATGGCAAATATAACCTTTTGAAAAATAATCAGTGAGTTTTTATATCTACAAAAGATACTTAGATAATAACTTTTACGGTTGTGACGAGAATACTAAACTAGAAAACCTGCTTCAAACTTTTAGTTGTGTTCTTCCTGCTATCAGATTCACTCTATAAGAGGGATTAAACTCGAAATTCCAATCCCTCGATATCCAGCTGCAAAGGAAAGGTAACAGTTCAGTGAAAAGATCTATTTACAGAAAGACCACATGGAACGGACTATTTATTAATTTTCATAGTTGTCTTCCAGTAAAGAGAAACAGGGATCTTTTCATCTCACACTCCTTATCAATATGAAAAATGTGAAAGGATGATACCTTTGATGATGAACCGAGGAGTCTGATGGAAATCCAGCCAACGAATTAATACCCACTGAAGTTTATAGGAAAGAATCTATAGCTGAAAAACATCATGGAACCCCCATATATTGCTTGTAAATAGGTTTCACAATTAGACCTCAAACGCAGCGTGGATAATGTGGCATATATCCTTAAGAAGTGACTTTCAGGATCCTTTGGAGGTAACACTTCTTTGCCACCAATCTCAGAACCCCACAATCTTGTCAGAAACTCATTTTTCAGTACGTGAGGGATAGAGTGGAGTGTTGTGTCATACCAATGTGTGTCAGTCTACTTGTTCCAGTGAAGTGACTACATCAGCTCTACCACCAGCTTGTGAAACGCGTTCGTGAGAACTATCTAGCTTGGTTCACAAAGAAAGATCACAAATGTATCAACAGCTATGAAACTGAACACTTAGTCAACTCAAGACATTTGACTTCTTTTGATAAGTCTGTCAAAATTGGAAAGAGTGCCACCTATCTACCTTAAGTAGTAACGTTAGGACTTCTGGCCATAACCAAGGTGTAAAAAATTCAAAATTTTAAATGGTTATTGTCCGTTCTAAAAAGTCTGTACAATATTTTTCATTGCCACGACCATTGTTAAGGATCGACCACTCCACGTAATTCCCATCAAATAATTAGATCTTACTTTGTTATCATTTGTTGATTACCCCACCTTAAATACCCAAATACATCACATATCTTTCCACTGTCATGTAATTTATTTTGACTCTTGACTGCAAAACACTGTAAAATATTTAATCCCACCTGTAATCACAAATCTGCGATTAAAGGAAAGAAACAAAAACAAAGATGTCTTAGTGCCTGTAATTCACTTCTCTACTTTCTTATGATCAAGTGGAGTTCTGACATTATACGAAAAAAGTTAAAGTCCTTGGGGCGAGAATTACAGGGACAGTTTGTGAACTCCATTGTTTTTGAGATACACATGGACGGCTTTACCTTACATAAAAAGGAACACTCAGAGCATGCTACATGGTTACTTATAAAAGTTCACCAATTGTTCATCTAATACATGTATTTAACACTGAAACAGTATTAGTGGTTTAAGATTCAGACACCATTTGTCCATGTATCCTGATGTGACTATGGACAATAAACTGTGTCCAAAAAGTAATCCAGTTACCAATACTGCTTTACTGTATGAGGCATCAAATAAAAAAACAACTGAATTGAAATTACCTTCTACCACAGCACTCAAAGTACAAAAATATCATCTAGGTCATTCAAAACTACAGCTTAGATCAACTCAGCATTTACTAACACCATATAAAGGAAACACAAAAATAGTTTACTAAATTAACTGCATTGTAATATTGTCTGAAACTGAATGCTAAATAGTCTAAATAAAATGAAATTAAAGTCATGTCAGATAATATAACGCTTTTTATAAATGAAATATATTTGAAATATGTCAATGAGGTAGAAAAATACGAAGCTTCTGTTTCGCGACTTCGTGGAAGTCGCTTCTTCGGAAAAACGTTTTTTTTCTCGACTATTAATGCGTGAATGTGCTTAGCAGAATACATGAAATATGTAACCAAAGTTTCATTGTTTCCCACAAAAGCAAAAGATCATGATGCTGTGAATGGAGAAATGTCACTGTAACAAACACAATCTGTTCACGAGCTTATCTGCTTTATAGACTAACAAAGTGAAAAAACAAGCAAATTACTTATTTGTATGTCATCAAGATTCACTTTGTGGCAGACAAATTAGACCTACAATTCCCTCAGTTCTATGACTGTCATCATTTAAAATCGACTTCAGTGCTATTACATTCCACATCAATGTATATACCTCCAGTTATAAACTGAAAATACTAATATAATATTATTTGTAGCGTCATCAGTCTTAGCCCATTAATTTCTGTAAAAATAAGACTTTAGTAGCTGTTGAGCCACATTCTTTCCTTTGAACTCAAGTTTACGACTACTTCTAACAACACAATATAATTGTTTATGTTTATATTCTACTATCGTCGATTTGACCGAATTGATCGGTTTCCATTGATATATGGGCTCCTGCGAGGATGCCTTAATATCCCAGTGTTCTAATCATTGTAATGATAGATGTGGTGAGGTAGATGACGCTGCGTCGTTTAAGGCAATCGCTTCTGAGTCTGAATCTCAGCAGGAACAACATTCACTGGAAGACAGTTACATCCAGCTGACGAGTCCGAAATAAGATGAAATGAGTATCCTGGATTCCACCGCTAGACACTATCCATCATTACTACTTCCAACATCTCCAAATAATCAGTTTTCGTTACTTTCACCGTGGTGTAATGTAACCAGAATTTTAAACCAAGTATCACGCTACCTATAAGGTTAGTTGTTACATTCGAAAGTGCACTAGCAAGTGGAAGTTCTACCGTATGCATATAAAGCACTGATTTACGTAAACATAATTAACATTTAACTGAGAAGACAGTTAATGATCTGCTTTGAGGCTGATTAAATGATTCCAAATCAGAGTCTACCTAGACACGATTCATTCAGTGAATACGGTGTGTTATCCGAGCCTGGTATCAAATAACTACTATTTATTATTTGTTCCATGGGTTCCTAGTGGAATATAAGGCATCAGTAGCACATCTCCAGTGCACTCTGTTCTCTGCAAACTTTTGAACCTGGCTCCATGACATCCCAGAAGCCCTCATTTCTCCCCCACAAGATCTCCTCTATGTCACCCTCACCTCGAATGCCCAACTCGTCGTTTCCCATCTGCCTTCCACTCGAGTGCCTGGCCTGCGCGTGATGTCCCCAATCACCATTCTCAGTGATGCCCAACCCATCTCCACTTTCTTCTGCATATCTGTTGTGTGATAGGTTCTTGGTTAGTTCGTCACCAGTCAGAGTTCCTTGTTGCTCATTCTTTCTGACCATCTCCGCTCCACTTCAGTAACGAGCTAGCGTAAGCAGTTGTTGATGAATGTCTGTAGTCTGTTGGAAATGCCTTTCGTAACGCTCCAGGTCT